CGAGAGGCATGTTTAAATGTTCACTTTCCGGAGTCCTGTGAAGCTCATTCATCCATCTCGTTGCCTTTGTGATCGCTGGCCCCTAACCGGGTAGACTGTCAATGGATTCGAACCCAAGGCTCGACGTTGTGGAAGCCTGCGTAGCCTGGAGTCGGGTTGGGCCTCTCACTCTCCCGGGTTTTGTGAAATCGAGCCGCGGACTGAATATGGTTGGCGTTTTTTGCCGCCGTTGTCGCGAGCAGCTGCTGAATTGCTATCCTTGACGACGGTTGAGCAACCAAACTGGATGACTCCATTCTAGTTATCTTATGATTCCGCAGTTGAATACACCGCAACAAATCGGAGCGTGGTCCCCGAACTAACCGGCTTGGACCACATTCTGTATCACACACACTTGACAGATCGGCTCCCGCCCGAGGAACCATGTTCCAAATGTTTCCATCATTCAAACACCCTCCAGCGTCACTTGACCGATGTTCGTTGGCACGGAACCCGATCCAGTTCTCAGTGGGTTTCGTCGTTTTCACGATCCTAAATCCGCAAGGCAACCTAAAATACTGTTAGATCATTTCGAAAAATCAAGAATGTCTGCAGTGATAGAAGTGAACAGGCGAGTTCCAGGTAGCAATTCAGAAGACGAATATGCGATCACTGGGACAAGGAATTTATTGGCCTGACGTTTCTGATTCTCACTCGAATCCATAATCAGAGACATTCGCAGATAAGGGTGATGGCGGCTCAAGGTGTGCAGTATTTGTAGCACGTGGCTGTCGTGCGACCATATGCGCACTGTAATTAGCAACTCTCGCAGTCACTGCTGTGGTCGCAATTGATGCGGTGGTGGCCTGTCAGTCCGAGTCGTTAATGGCCGTGATTTCCTCATCCGTGCTGGATGCTGGTGTGACGATTGCCCGGCTAATTGGCTCACTGTGAGTTGGATAATTGCTCGCCTGCGCCCTGCCCAAGTGACTGATCCCCCGCCCAGGGAAAATCCCACCACGGAATATGGTGCCGGGAGTTCATCGCGCCCGTTGATGGATTTCGAGCCTGAGAGCCATGACACGGGCATTTCGGTCATTTCAAAAAATCAAGAATGTCTGCACTAGGGCATTGCTGCGTCCACCGACTTTAGTGCTGATGAAAATGGCGAAGAAGAAAGCCAAGAAGCATTGAGTCGGAGCGGCGCTCTGGTTGTGCGACTCAGGCCTTGGCGACACTTGGGTACACCTTCAACTTTTTCGCTAGGTAGGCGGCATATCCCCCACGCACACACTGTCTGTCGCTGTTCTCGATGTAAGCGGTGGTCTCATGGACAAATCGGTTCAGCTCGAAAACTAACATGGGCCGCTTGTGCGTCCAGGCTCTTTGCCGAAACTTCTCTGGGAAGTGTGCGAATTCTACCTTTTAAGTTGGGGAATCTGTCAAAATAATGAGGGTAACTCGTACATACGATTATTCTTATTTTAGCATTGCAGGTGGGGCTACTTTTGGATATCCTGTGCACGGCTTGTCAAAAACTTGCTGAGTTCATCTAACGAATCCTACATGTGTGCTGAAGCCTCAAAGGAGCTGGAGTCCCAGCCTTTTAACCTCATCAGAACTTAATGCGTCAGCTTGGAATAGGTCATCCAACGTGGAGCTCTATAGACTCGGTCTGGACACTGGTATAAATATTGAAACCGAAATCGGTAGAGGTTAAGCATATGCGCGGGGTAGGGGAAAGCTATGGACAACTGCCCACAATATTTTTAAACTAGGTGTTCTCCGGCAGTTCTTTGTCGGCAGAATAACATTTGCTGCCCTGTACCGTCTCGAGGTGTCGGTGCTGTTGAAATGTCTACATTGGCTTATTGTCCCGCATTCCCCCACAAGTATGAGAGCTCATTTTCAAAAAAAGTTAGTCGGTAGAAAACTACATACGTCTGCCAGTCTGCTGGTGAATTTGTTAAATGAGAGTTCGCATTTTCTTGCCCCGCGCTTATACTCACTCCTCGTCCGAGGTCCGTCAGCCAAAGCGGGGTAAGCGCGTAGCATCCAATAACTGCCAACAGTCAACCACTCGTGCAAACACTTTGCAGCAGCCGTAGAATATCGACGAACAACATGTCTGGGCTTTTGGCAGGCCCCTGTACTGTCAGTGGGCAATATCACAGAACTGCAGCTGTTGACTAGAGACTGCATTGTTTGTTCGCAACCCATTCTGCCTCTTACATGAGGAATCCACAATGCCCGGTTCAGGGTGATTATGCACTACTTTTTTCCGTCACTGCAGGTTTTATTTAGGGAGGCATTTTTCGTAGAGAAAGATTGTGGTTTCAGTTTGGCGCCTGATTAAAGTGACAACTTAGGTCTGGTTGCGTGAGAGTGCCGTGGAAGGTGCTGCTTCAGCCCGTTCCCAGCCCACCAGTCCGCCACTCCACACAGCACATACACACAACGCGACGAACTGCGTGAACCGAGGGCGGGCATTAATTAGCAACCTTCCTATCCACGACACTTGAAGTGTCGGGATAGTCTCGGACTCAAATCACCCGTACAGCCGAAGCCGCGTGGGAACCGAAACGAGATGCACACTTCCCGCTTGCGTGGAAGGTGGCAGTTGGTGCATGCGGTGGGTAAGTGTTGATGTGTGTTGGTGATGGTGCAGGAGGGTAGGGAGTGTGTGGATGTGTGGTGTAACCGGCAATTGTCTACCGCAGGTCGTCGTGGATGCGCATGTGGCCGAATAGGCCCATGCGGTGCCTGAAGGTGCGAGGACAGTGTGGAGAGTTGAGACGAGCTTGGTGGGTGTAGGTTGGTGCTCTAGGCACTGGTTCTCCGGTCTCTGTGCGATGGATTCGCAAGTGACCGACCAGGCCGATGCGTGAGGCGAGTGTGCGTGGACAGTGTGGGCACGTGAAGTCGGCGGTGTCAGAATCAGCTACAGAGGAGGCGTTGGTGGTGGCGCAGATGGACGGTGCGAGGGTGGTGCTGGGCATGATGGGCGTGGTTGGTGTGTCGGAATTGTGGTCGATTCCGCTCTCGTAGATGCGCATGTGGCCGAATAGACCCATGCGATGCGTGAAGGCGCGAGGGCAGTGGAGGCGAGTGCGTTGGGTGTAGGTTGGCGCTTCAGGCACTGGTTCGCCAATCTCTGTGCAATGGATTCGCAAGTGACCGACCAGGCCGATGTGTGAGGTGAAGGTGCGGTCGCAGTGAGGACAGGTGTAGTCCTGATTCTCATTGCTGGAGTCAGGAGAGGCGGGGGTGGTGCCGGTTGTTGTGTCGCGGTCGGAGATGTGCGAGACGGCTGCCTGAGCGGCCGCCGTTGGGGCAGTGGTGATGGTGGGGGTGGTGGTGGTGGTCGTGGTGGAGGAGGGGGAGGAGGAGGAGGAGGATGGAAGTGGTGGTGCAGAAAAATTCACACAGTTATTCGGCGGCAGAGAGGACGAGGATGACGCGGGCGGGGGGATGAAGTTTAGTGCAGTTCGAGAGGTAGAGTTGATCCGAAGATGTCCAACAAGGCCGATTCGAGCCCGGAATGTCCGCTTACATCGAGGACACGTTGGAAGCAGTTGTGCGGCAGCGTTGCTGACTGGGCGCAGTTGTGATTTGCGGGCTAGGCGTTTCGCTTTGGCGGCGGCGATGCGGTTGGCTTCGTGGATAGCAGCGCCCGTCTTCACTGTTCTCCTCCATGCCGGACGATCGCAGGCGAGCTCTTCCCAGTTGGTCGGGTGGATTTGCGGTAGCTTCAGGGAGGACTTCAGGGTATCCTTGTATCGACGAATTGGGCCTCCTTGACGACGAGAACCCGTCGCGACGTCTCCGTAGAAGAGTCGTTTGGGTAGCCGCTCGTCGTCCATGCGCACCAGGTGGCCGCTCCAGCGCAGCTGCATTTGTCTCAGTATGGCGTAGATGCTGAGGATTCCCGATCGTTCCAGCACATCAGTGTCGGGGATTCGATCCTGCCACTTCAGCCTCAGGATGCGACAAAGACAACTGAGGTGGAAGTGGTTCAAACGACGTGCCTGCTTTGCGTACACCGTCCAAGTCTCCGCTCCATACAGTAGTGTCGGCAGGATGACGGCTATGTACATCTTCAGCTACGTGCTCAGTTGTAGACCGTGGCGATTCCAAACTGTGCTTTGGAGGCGACCGAAGGCTTGACTGGCTTTCGAGATCCTGTTGGCGACTTCGTCATCAATCTTGGTGGTGCGGGAGAGAGTACTGCCCAGGTACGGGAAGTTCTCCACCACTTGCAGTAGGGTCCCATTCACGCTGATTTGCGGCGGCGCGTTGGGGGCTGTGGCTGAGTTGGGTGGGGGTTGGTGCATCACCACCGTCTTCTGCGTGTTAATGACCAGACCGAAGTTCTCGCAGGCGGCGGAGAATAGGTCCATGCTCCGTTGCATCTCCTCTTCTGAGGTGGTGTTCAGGGCGCAGTCGTCGGCGAAGAGGAGTTCGTGAACGGTTGTTGTGGATACGCGTGATTGGAAGTGCATCCGCCGTTGATTCAGCAGGTGACCTTCCGTCCTGTAGGCGATGCGAATCCCGGGACGTTCGTCACGGTAGGCGTCCATCAGCATGGCAGAGAACATAAGACTGAAGAGGGTTGGTGCGAGCACGCATCCCTGTTTTACTCCGTTAGTCACTGCGAATGCCTCTGAGACAGCTCCGTTGTCCGTGACTCGCGCCATCATACCGTCGTGCAGCTGACGCACCATCTGAGTGAATCGCTCTGGACAGCCGAATTTCTGCATGATCTTCCACAGTCCTTCACGATTCACCGTGTCGAAGGCTTTCGTCAGGTCCACGAAGGTAGAGTACAGGTGGGTCCGCATCTCCTGGCACTTCTCCTGAAGTTGACGGGCGGCGAAGATCATATCCGTGGTCACACGATGACGACGGAAGCCGCACTGACTTTCCGGCTGAAGGCCCTGTTCCAGGTGGTTATTGAGGCGGTTGAGCAGGATGCGAACGAAGATCTTCCCGGCGATGTTCAGCAAGGAGATGCCACGGTTATTGTCGCAGACTTGGCGATTCCCATTTAGCTTGTATAGGTGCACGATAGTTGCGTCCTTGAAATCTTGCGGGACTTCACCTTGACGCCACATCTCCTGGAAGAGCGCAGTCAGGTGATCCATCAGTTGGGGATCGCCGTGCTTGTAGACCTCAGCAGGGATCGCGTCCGATCCGGGTGCTTTCCCGCTGGAGAGCTGCTGCACGGCCCTGATGGTCTCCTGGAGAGATGGCGGGAGGTCTAGGTCTGCGTTGGTCTCTACTTGCGGCAAATGCGCGATGGCGGCGTCGGAGATGGCGGAAGGGCGGTTTAGGACGCCTCGGAAATGCTCGGCCCATAGCTGAAGGATTTGCGTCTTCTCAGTCAGGAGAGTACTGCCGTCGGCGCTGAGGAGAGGAGCAGTGCCCTTTGTCGGCGGACCGTAGACAGCATTGATCGCGGAGAAGATGTTCTTCCATTCGTTGCGGTCCGCGTAGCCTTGGATCTCCTCAGCTTTGCGAGCAGTCCAGGCGTCCTGCATCTCGCGCAGTCGCTGCTGGAGGTGGCGGCGACTGCGGTAGAAAGCAGCTTTGTTGTCCTCAGTGGGGTGATCGACGTAGGCTTTGTGTAGGCGGTTCTTCTCAGCAAGCAGATTTCTGATGGCGGCGTCGTTGTCGTCGAACCAGTCCTGGTGTTGGCGGGGAGCGCGACCGAGGACGGTGAGCGCCGTCGCCTGGACCGTGTCTCGCAGTTGACACCAGCGGTTCTCCACGGAGGCGTTGTCGGCAGCGGCGACATCGGTGATAGGGAGGTTGTCTAGCCGTTGAGCTAGCTCATTGCTGAAATGGAGATGGTGAGCGGGCAAGGACAACAAGGCAACATTCAGCTTACCTGGGGATCGCTTACCTTGTGGTTTCCTGCGAGGCTGTAGGCGAAGACGCATCTTCGAGATGACGAGGCGATGGTCGGTCCACCCGTCAGCACCCGCGATCGCCTTCGTCACCAGCACGTCCCGCTGATCTCGCCTCCGGACGAGAACATAGTCCAGCAGGTGCCACTGACGCGACCGAGGATGCCTCCAAGTGGCCTTCTCTCGCTCCGGCAGACAGAAGAACGTGTTTGTCAGGATAAGGCGCTGTCCTGCGCAGGTGCGGAGCAGCAGCAGACCATTGTCGTTTGAGCCGCGAAGACCGTGGGGACCCAGCACTCCTCTCCAGGCAATATGGTCTGTGCCGACGCGGGCATTGAAGTCGCCAAGGACAACCAACTTGTCCGCCATCGGCACAGTCGCCAAGAGGGCGTACAGGTCCTCGTAGAATTTGTCTCTGACGGCGTCGGGGTTGGTCATGGTCGGAGCGTAGGCGCTGATGATGGTGGCGAATTGGCCCCCCCGCCGGAGAGGCAGGCGGAGGCCTTAGCATTAAATGTGAACCTAAACCACAATCCTAACCCTAACCGGAACCCTTAGACATACCTCAAACCTTAACCCTAAACTAAATTCTCAGCCAGACACTGATTCAAACCCTAAAATCAACCCTACCCCTAGACCGAAACACCAGGTTGCCCGTTTCCTTTATAACTTTGGCTACTTTTCCACTACCGTTTTCAATACCCGTATTCGGCTTACTTCACTTTCGACGCCCACACTGCGCTTACACTTTGGACCAGGACAGTGTAAGCGACCCCTACCTCTCTGTTACCCGACTAGTGGCCACCAGAAATGCTGGCGAAGGGGCGGGAGCTTTAGGCGACCGCATGCCAAATATCCTATTTCGCTTAGTTTGCCTGATTTCTATCATAGATGGGAAGTGTGTCATAGCCGAGGGGGTTGGGTTCGCTGGTTTTCCGACGCCGCAGACCGAAGTTCGGGGCTCGGTCTGTGGATGACACCTTTGTCGTCATCGAACGGGATCAGGTGCTGACATAAAAAAAAAACATCTCAATGCCGTCCTCCCGGTCATTCAATTTACGCTGGAGGAGGAGGAAAACAATCAGCTGGCCTTCCTGGATGTCCTAGTCTGACGCAAAGATTGTGGTGGCCTAAAAACCAAAGTGTTCAGGAAAGCGAAAAATACGACGCAAATACTTAACTTCAACAGCAATTACCCGATCATTCACGAACGCAGTTGCGTAGGGGCACTATACCGGAGCGTTAAGACACACCGAAACGAAATGCAAGAAAAGTTTGCCGAATTACAATATCTTCGAGGGGTAATGAGAGCCAATGGTTACTCGCGCAACTTTGTAAGCCAGTGCGTACGAAAACGACATCAGAGACCAAATCTAGCTGAGCCCTGTTTACCGCATCAAACTAAGACGACTCAAGGACGTCAGAAGATGAAGATGCGATCACTGGAACAAGAAATTTCTTGGCCTGACCTTTTGGATTCTCACTCCAATTCATCATCAGAGACATTCGCATATAAAGGTGATGGTGGCACCAGGAGTGCAGTATTTATAGCACGTGGCTGCCGTGGGACCGTAGGCGCACTGTAATTAACAGCACTCACAATCACCGCTGGGGTCGTAATTGATGCGGTGGTGGCATGTCAGTCCGAGTCCGAGTCGTTAATTGTCGTGATTTCGTCATCCGTGTTGGATGCTGGTGTGACGATTGCTCGGCAAATTGGCTCACTGTCACTGGGATAATTGCTCACCCGCGCCCTCTTCACGTGACTGATTCCCCTACCAAGGGAAAATCTCAGCACGGAATATGGCACCGGGAGGTCATTGCGCCTGTATTTGGATTGCGGGCCTGGGAACCATGACTCGAGCAGCTCGCGGCTCATACGGTTGTCATCCCTTGCGAGGATTTCGGCCTCTTGAAACTTGAAAATATGCGCGGGTCCCATCAAATGAGCCGCCACCTGAGAGCTAGCGTCTCCCCGCCTCACTGCTGCTGCGTGCTCGGCAATTCGCGTACGGAGTAATCTCCCAGTTTCTCCGACATAGTTGCTTTGTCCGCAACTACACCAGATCCGGTAAACAACTCCAGACGTTTCCTGCCGTGGCAGCGGATCTTTTGACCTCATGACTTGGCGCCTAATCGTTGCTTCCCGCCTGTGTGCAACCCCAACTCCAAGTGGAGTGAGAAGACGACTGACGGCTTCCGAGACGTTCTTCACGTACGAAGAGCCCGCCAAAATTTGGGACCGGTTCGATTTGGTCTCTGGTGTCCTTTTCGTATGCCTTGGTTTATAAAGTTGCGCGAGTAGCCATTGGCTCTCAGTACCCGTCGAAGATATTGTAATTCAGCACCCTCGTCTTCCATTTTTCTGCAAAACGTTCCAACGCGCCGGTATAGCTCCCTTACGCAACTGCGTTTTTGACTGATCGGGTGGTTGCAATCAAAGTTCAGCATTTGCGTCGTATTTGTCACTTTCCTGAACACTTCGGTTTTTAGGTCACCAAAAGCTTTGCAGCAGACACGGAGAGTGTTCCGCTCCTGTCGAAAAGGAGCCCTCAGTGTCGGAGACGTATTCCTGTGTGGAAGCTGTCTTCGCTGTGGTAGCTCGAGCGTAGCAAGCTAGGACGCCCTACGCAGTTTGCGCACCACCTGTGACCAGCGCGTTGATTAGTTTAAAGTGAGCCAGCCTTTCGCAGCATCTGTCTCACTCTATCCTCCTTCTGCCACCTTGTTAGCGTGGCAAGAGAAGATCGAGAGGGCCGGATGTTGGCGCGGGCGAAATGGCGGCAAGTATTAGGCATATGCGCGAGATGAGAAGATGCAAACTCTTGTTTAACAAATTTACCAGCGTTTTAACACTATTGCATTCAATTTTAGGGGGCGCTCACCGATCGTTCATACAGAACTCACTCGTTACGTTGTGCCTTAAGGGCTCTCTCTCGAGCCCACCCAGCAGCCGCACAGCGGCGTATGATATATAGGTAGCATGGTATTACCGACAAAGACAAGGGAGACTGGAATGGCCATTTGTGGCTTATTGGCCGTCGTCAGCCAGCCATACCCTAGCCCGAAGTGTGGAACACCCGAGCCTCGAACTCGCGACCTTGCATTCTATCTAACAATAGTTCGAGTAGTTTGCACTACCCGACCGCTCCCTGACGAACTTTTGTAAAACATGACCTCTCCTATTACTAAAGAATTACCCGTGGACGATGCAGAACAATGAACCGGTGTAGAGATTTCAGCGGCGCCGACTCTTCGTGGCGATACGCGTCAACGGATATCATCATAATGACAAAGAACCGACCGCAAACTCCACAAAACACACCTGCATTTAAAAATACTATGAGTAATTCTTCATACTTTTTTCCTACCCCGTGCAAATAATTAATCCCTACCGAAATGGCTGGCAAACCTGAACGAACTGATCCTCAAGGTATGTGCTGGAGGACTTTGATATCACATGCGTGTGAATGCCATAGAAACCATGCTGAAAAGGAACCACTGTATCCTGACAGCCAGCCATCCTTGTAACCTCAAAATACTCGCCTTGGCACCGAAGTATTTCATCAGTTGGCAACTCCCCAAACCACAACTTTTATTACGTCATGATAAATCCAAGCACTTCAGATGTGTCATAGCGAGGAATATACTTATGCTCCGTTAGGATGGATTCCCCAATATTGATCCCACTTGCCTTTTCCTCTTCGATGTGTCAGTCAACTCTCCGCGTTTGTCAATCAACTGATGGTGGGTTGGGAAAAAACGATCGTTTTTGGGCACTCCCTCATATACCGTTTCAATTGTATACTTTTTATAACCGGGACGCCCTAAACACTTTGATTAATTAGTTAGTGTCATATTGTTTTCCCCATGCTGATATTACCTGGCTCTCCGACCCCTACAGAGACCTCGGGGGACTGTGCAGACCACAGCGGAAACAGTCCTGGTTTAGGAAAAATGTGACAATTTCATGTGAAATTCCACTGGTAAATAGGCTCTACAACCGAGATTAATGAACCCGACAAATGAGAGCTATCGATATCCGAAAAGGGCGAATTTGACAGAAAAAACTTCAACTGAAAAGGTATGATGTGAAAGGACGAAAATGAGGAAAAGAGAGGTGCAGCGCTGAGTTAAGAAACAGTAAGAAAGCCGCTGAACGGAGAGAATAGTTGGGAGTAAAGGTATGCCGAGTTAACGACAAAGAAAGCGGGGGGTCGGAGGGAGGTTTTGTCACCCCCATTCACTGTGGATGCGGTGTCAAGGACTCAAAATACATGAAATTCGAAGGCTTGTATAATAACAGTTCTAGTAGTAGTAGTAGTAGTAGTAGTAGTAGTAGTAGTAGTAGCGGGAAAGTATAAAACGGGCAACTGAATGTGAAGCACTATGGACGAGGAGAGACAGTGAAGTAGTGATGCAATATTGACAGAAGCCAAGTAACGAAAGAATAATGAGGAGATGTAGGAAGAGTGGAACCCGTTGCATCAGTCGAAGTATATCCGACAACAGCTGATATACCTCCAATTAAAATTACCGCTTTATTTCGTTTCACAAGCAAGTACGTAGATGCGTAACTAAGGGATAAGATCCGTTTACTCCTGTTGCGGCGTTCGTCTCCATTCTGACCCATTTGCGTCTTCGAAAGTCTCTACTGGAGCTTCGCCATTGCGGTGCTTTTGCAAGCAGATTTCTGCCCCAGAAGTCCTCCGTTTGCCCTGAAACAGAGGTCGCATGCCAATTGGGCGCCTTCACGCTAATGAATTAAACACCATCGACCCCCGACCGCAGCCTGCAGATGTCACGCACACGACTGATTAATTAACCGGCAACTTGTCTTCAAATAACGCTTGCAAGCCCCCTTGCCGCGGCGTTTGCACACGCTTCAGGCAGATGCACAGCTGACGACACCACGCAATATTACACCTTCACCAAACATCCAAGTAAACACGGTCGCGCAGGACGGTTTTGATCGATTTGCACGTGCTTGCGTTCTTGTAAGCCTGTTAGTATTCGCGTGGGTTCGTATATAAAAGACCAGGACAGATGGTAATGTGGCCCGCATCTCCAAAGTCAAAAAGTCTTCCGCGACTGGAGGTGTAAACGGTGTGTTAAAGCCGGCCAAATAAACTGAATCACCTTCATCTAACCAGCCGCCAGAGCATAATGAACTTGACACGACTGCGGAGGGTCCCGGCTGCTTATACCGGGCATTCTCGGATGCTGGAGTAAGTGTATCTGCAATGGCGCGGCCAGGCCTTGAGAATGGCTAATGAACGTCTGCCCAGTCGGCTATTTTACCCTGCTGCCTGTGCGGGTGCTCGTACTTGGGGCGGATAAAAAAGCTAATGATAAAATGACATTCTGAAGATTTTTTTGAAGCGCATGGAAAGTAAATAGCAGACCTGAGGGCGCTTCGTGTACGAACTGTCATAACA